AGGGGGGGGCGGGGAGTGGGGTGGTGGTGTTTGCCCCAATATCATTAAGACCAGACCCTGTGATGCACTGCACTATGCAAGTAAGCCAAGTGCAAAATACTTCCTAGTGGAAGAAAGAGTGGCAAAATTCACATCCTGGTATACTAGGTCTTATTCCCACCCAAGCCCCACAGTACAAACAAGCATTGCATTGGTTTAATTCAAGGTGAATTTTCAGTTAAACTAGCAGGAACATCCATTCCTTAATAAATGTAAGTTTGTTTATTTAATTATAGTTCAGGTTAATTTCTCAGAGTTTTAAACTAAAATGATCTATAACATGTCTTAAAGGTATTAAGTGTTCTCTAAGGACTCCATCCCAGTTTAATGAATTAAATTCAATTTCCCCATTCACTTAAACTGAAGCAAATCTGGTACACAAACTAAATACAAATAATGCCCTGCAGGATAGAAAATGGCTAGTGAAAGACAAATCCCTGCATCATGACACTGGTTCACTAACAAAAGCAACTGATCTATGAAACGTCTTGAAGAGTCGTTTCAGTCTGCAGGTTGATATTTGAGCAACTCTCAAAGGAGAATCCTCCGCTCTTGTACACAGGACCCGCCAGCAGTTAGTGCAGCTGCCCATACAGGAGTGCTGTAATGGCCCGAGCTGTCCCATGTCCTCGATGTGACAGTGACTATTCTGCCCTCAGACCGCTAAGCTGCTGCAGTAGCTGAGTGAGAATCACACGCCTGTGTAACCCATGCAACGCCATTACTGCATCTTCACATGTGTAAGCTGCATCTCTTTCAAAACATCACCACTCGAAATAAGTCATTACGTAAACTGCACCCTCACATAATCCATGCAAAATCAAAGTCAGAGCCACGAAAATGAGTGAAGGACAGGGAAGCAAACTCTGTGGGATAAGGAACAGGGATTGACAGTGAATAAGGAAGCTTTGAAATATGCTTGCCCTCAGTATATCACACACACAACCTCTGCATAGCAGAGGGTTCTCTTCTTCTGCAAACATGCCATTTATACTCTTGAAAAAAAAAAAAATTGAAGTATTTTTCAGAGAACTCTTACATATTATCTCCTTTCTTTATCACTTCTTGAAAGATATGGCTCAGAGAATCCCAGATTTGCACAACTTGAATCACGCCCACTGAAATCTCAAACCAGAGCTGATGAGGGTGTTCCTTCTAGCTCCTATTATTCATCCATTGCACACAGAAGTGAGTCTTTATCTCAGAAATTACAATGCAAAGCATGAGAAAAGCATGACGGTTTTACAAAATTACTGATTAACTAGCAACTTGTCAATATCAATTACTGAAGCCGCTGGGGTGAGAATCCATTTGAAATGCTGGGAGAGAGGAGTACATGAGCATTCACAAGTGGAGAATATTTAAACAAAAAAACAGAGAAAGAATACACTGCAATCTTACCTGAGAACAAAAGGATATTTCTTTAAAGCTTTTTTCAATTGCTACTTTTTTTGTGTCAGGACTGATAAGGTAAACTTCAGACTGGCCAATCTAAAAAGAGCAAAATAAATAGCAAGATGGTAACAAGTAACATTACACTTCCTTTTGTCTCACTATAAAAACGTTTCTCGGACACAAATCTCAGGTTTTTTTTCTACCTGTGTACTTAGACCAATTAGTGTATTACTACCAGAGAAAGAGAGAATACTGAAAAAACATTGATTTGGCATTCAGAGCTCTGCACACTACTGAACTGAGATTTAGTTTCACATTTGAGACAACAGACTGAGGATAGTGTTTGATTAGATGAGAGTAATATTATACCACAAGTAATTTAGTTTGCACTGTGAAAATATACTCACACTCCCTTTTCTTATTTTCTGCAGGTTTGGCACATACCACATTCCCAAAAGCTACTTAATGAAATCATCCTAAACTTTAAATCCAAGTGTGTGCCTCTACCTGTATTCCACCTGATTATTTTTTAGGGGGTTATTTATTTATTTAAGACACACATAGCATTTAATGTAAAGGCTTTAACTCAAACTATAAAAATGAGCTTACTGGAGTATATTTTCTAATTTACTTTAATCTGTAGGCCATTTGTACAGCAGTGTTCCAAAAGCTGATGCTAACTCTTGATGGGCAAAGGGTATTTTTAAGGTGAAACTATTGTTTCCAATTTTTCAGCTTCTGGCAACGTCTTTGTAGCATTTTAACAGATAAAATTTAAATTCCTCATAGTTTCTAGCACATCAGAAAGTCTGCTAAGGACAAGTCTCTTATTTTACTAGATTTTAGGGAAGATGGGTGGAATCTGGATCCATTCATGAGCATGACTTAGACAAACCTGCCGAAGCTTCAACCACTACCAAATCCCAAAAGATGCGTATAAAAGATCAGCAGAATCAATATACCTGTAATTTCTTAAGGAAGGGGGGAATCCTGTGTGTAAATGGATCAAGTGAGACGTGCCACCTCTGTGTGTCTAAAAATGGTCCTGTGCATTCACTTTCCACCTCTTCTTTCACTTCAACCAGTCACAACAATTTTCCCCAACTCCCTGCTGGTTTCCTCGTATTGTCCCCAGGGCTGACCTCACACATTTTCATGGGGTTACTCCTTCCAACGCCTACTCAGCAGCTGCCCACTGCCTTCCCCTCCCCACAGTGAGAGGCTCCTTCTTAGCTCAGCCCCACATACTGCTTCCACAGCTGGTCCCAGGGCAGCAGGGATCATTTGAAGCCAACTTAACAAGGGGAAAAAAAACCCCAATATACCCACCTCACCCCCCCCCCCCCCCCCCCCCCCCAATATACAGCCAGGAGAAAAGCCTAAAAACCAAAAAAAACCCTAAAATCCTAAAAAAAATGGCTAGGAAAGCAGTTCTTCAGGAAGAGATACCAAAATCAGGACTGTCTGAACCAGGTCAGGAAAGTCAGCAGATAACTCATTCAAACATTTTTCACACCTCATACACCAACCTCTGCTGCAGTCCTGGGGAAAATCCAGGTAAGAACTTCAACTGAGAAAATACAAACAATTTTTTTTTCCCCTCTGGGTATATTAGTTTTAAGCATTTCATACGTAGCCACACACAAACTGATGAGCAAAGGTGAAAACCTGTGCACGCTGTATGCATACCATTACTTAGAACCTGCCGAACACAGGGGATGGCTAACCAACACACTCAGCTCTGCCACGAGCTGCTGGCTTGTGGATGCTGGAGGCACAAACCACAGTTACTTCACTTCCTTATATTCAGCTGAATTTAGACTGGCTGAATGGCAAAAGAATACAACTGTGCATACTAAACAGTATTGTCCCAGGCAAAAAGCAACCCAAGACAGAAAGCTGGATCAGCAGAGCCCCGCCATTTGGAAATGAGCCTGTCAGCAGGTGACTGATGTTATATTCAGGCTGAAGTTGCATGTGTCTTTGAGAACTGTTGCATCTATTTAATATGAATTAAAAATGCACTCACTGGAGTAAGAGGATCTGGACCTAAGTAACCCATCTATAATCTCCCTATCTCTAAAATATGCGCCATGAATTAATAATAGAGTCAGGATTTGTTTAAAAATCAGGCATTATTATAAAGGGCATCTGTGTGTTCTGTGTGAAGCATGGGCTTAGGGGAAGAAGATAAACATGGAATTGTTTTTACTGGAGCACGAAATTTCTCTCCACCTTCTTCCACTTCTCTCTCTGATGCCAGCCTGCCATGACTAAACAGAAGTTTTAAATAAGGTATAGCTAACTATACCTCTTTCTGTGTGTTACTTTTTACAGGCATAACACTTTGGTAATCCTTCTTAAAGCAGCACTTCTCTTTCCCCCCTCCAAAAAGTCTGCTGTAACTGCACCCACTGCATCCACTCTGTCAATGTCCTTAAAAAATCACAGCCCCAACAGCAGCTGACAGATCCAAGATGACATGATAGCCAGCCATCACAATATCAGCTCCAGGTTTGCATTATGTTCATAAGATATATAAAATATATTACTTATCTGTCATAAGGATTATAAGAGGAGCAAATAACACATTCCTTACTTGTTTCTCAGGTCTTGAAAAATACATTTGCAGCTCACCTATCAAGGCAAGGACATTGCTAGCCACACAAAAGCAGGACAGGAGTGGAGGCAGGTGTGGAGTAGCCTAGGAACCTACTACACTACTCCATCATTACACAGGCATGTTGGCAGCAGGAACACCTTCACGAATTATGCTGTTTCCCATGGGACATGAAGTCTACTAGCCCACAGTGATGCTTTAGTCCTTCTGCTCTAGTTACAGGTAACTCATTCACCTGTTAATCTATTTCTTCTGTTACTAGTTAGTGTAACTGTACATATCATTTTGCAATTGTAAAACTACCTACTAACCTGCTGTAGCTTTCTAAAAGCTGTCTTTAGAAGCCCAGTGTTTCAGGTAGTGCTGTTTTAAACTATTTAATGTAAACTAATTTTGACTGCGTAAAACAATTTACCCTGACTGGTAATGCTTACTAGAGAAATACGTGAGTTAAGTTCTAGTAATTGCAATTAAGTTATTTAAAGAAGTAACTGCCATCTGTCAGAACATCTGCTTTGGTGTTTGCCACTCCAAATTCTGTGAAAACACTGTCAATAGCTGCAAATCTTGCTTTACCGTAAACAACATTGTCCGGTTTTCTGCAATGTCTGTTGGCTGCACAACACTGTGTCCATAGATAAGTTGACTTTTAAGGTTCAGTGAAATTGCATCTTCTTCAAAAGACCTGACAAAGCTGTTACTCCTGTGGCCTCCCTCTTGCAAATCCTTCTTAAAAGCAAAGGAACGAAGCCCAGGCTGAGAAAAGGATTTCCTAATTGGCCTTTTCTCCTCCTCTTCACTGACCAAGGGCTGGAAGACAGACCGCAATTTGTTGCTGAAAGAGAAGCCTCCGAAGTTATTGGCAGTTTCATGTTGTTGGGATGATGAGTTGAAATCTGACGGTTTTGTACAACTTGCATGATTAAATTTCTCTATGCATTCATCTATGAGGGCTGGAGGTGCATTTTTATGTGCTACTGTCACCCGTCCACAGAAAAGCACCTCAAACTTTTTGGCAAAAGGGTCTTCAACATCTGAGAGAGAATTCTGAAACTCTTCTTGACGAGCAATTTTTCCAGCTTGTCGAATAGAGCTTATAATCTCAGGCACCTACGGGAGGGGAAAAGAAAATACACAGCATTAGCATCTAGTGCTTTATGACAAACAAGTTGCAACACTAAGAGAGGTGCTCCCTGCATTTTCCTGCAGTGACTAATTCGGTTTTGTTTTCTGAAAGACCAGTTGAATTGATCTTGTATTTGTCCAATATACACATTATAAAAGTTAAACACTGACTAGATGACTTGCTCATTTGTCTCCCTGCCAGGAGTTCACCATCATCAACACACTGTCAGAAGAGCTTCATCTCTTGTAACGCTGTGTGTTTTCATAAAACTTTTGCACCCAAAGGAACCAGTATAATGTGATAATTCAAACTCAAAATGAAAGATAAAAATACTTCAGAAGGCATAAGAGAAGCCACAGACTAATTAATTGGGTAAGTTATTTAATCTCTGTTATTTTTCACTCCCTTCTGTTACTTAAGCATTCAGGTCATGTACATTAATGGGTCTCTTGCAAATTTGCTTTCAACTTCATAATAGCATATTACGTTGCTATGGCAGTTTGGTTTTTTTTTTTTTTAACTGTAAGTAGCTGTGTCTTTTAAAGAAACACATTCATTATTTTAGATATTCATTCTTATTCTAGCATCCTAGATGACACTCTCAAATAATATTACTTCCACAAACAGTATCACTTGCAGGGCACTTGCAAATATTTGATAGGGTTATAAGGTAGGAACGTGCATCTGCTATCTGCTAAGCTACTGTGAGGTTGATGCTTGCTTACATCCCAATGCTTTGACTGGCCTAGGACATTAAGGTTCTTCTGCAGCATGTGCTGCTGCCATAAGAACAAATGCGGGGCCACCATCTACGGTTACAACAGATAATTCTGCCAACTTTTTCATTCTCCCAAATTACTTTGAGAAAAATCCATGCTAAGCATGCCAGTTTCCTGACAGAACAAGTTTCCTCTGTCAAACATTGACTAGAGCTTGCTTACTTACAAGTATTTGGTTGCAGACAGTACAGAAGGAAGTCTGGGAGCAACAGACTAAAACAGCAGCCCAGAAAGCCATCGCCGCTATGAGAAAAGGCATCCCTAAACCTAAAAAATGCTTTGGAGACACGGCCTCTGCCTTTTTCAGACATTTCTGTGGTTATCTAACGGCTTAAGCAAAATGCAATAATGTAGATAGACCAATGCTGGAAACAGCAAAAGACTTAGAGGGAAAAAAAGGTTGAACAGTGAAAACTGAATGGTTATATTCTGGGTGCTCATAAAGACCTCAGTAGGAGTCTTTTTATAACCAAGGAAACACAGATACATAGATAGATAGACACACACACATATAGCTAGTGGATTTAAGACAGTAAGTAACAGATTACAAAATAAATACATAAAACAACTCAGGAAGCATTACTTCACCCTTGAGGGCAAGGCATGAGTCATCAGCTAATCACCAGCAAAGACAACGGGGGAGAGGTAAGCAAAGCAGGGTCATGACTTCAGAAATCTGTTCTCAGCTACATCACAAACCAGTCAGAAAGCCTTGGGCTTGGGCAGTGTTGCACGTAACGTTTTAATCATATACAAGAAGAATGTAAGGGTATAACAAATCTTTATTACCTCAAATGATATACATTTGCTCCACTGTGAGCTCAAGGTTCACCTCAGTTTTATTTACCTAATATTCCTTGAGAGAACCAATTTTTAGTCACATAACAGATCAGGATGACAGTGATACATAAAACTTTATTCTAGCCATATTTCAAGCTGCAACTGCTTTACCATTTTCTAATAAACACGTTTTATTCTTGTGGGAATGTCTGGACTCACCAGCCATAGGCAATTTTACTTCCAAGTTGCCCAGAATACACGCAATCCCATCTCCACTTTTGCTGAGGCTGCAGAGGTGACAGCAAAGGAATGAAGTATTTCCTGGAAAATGCTCACATCATCAAAGCCAGGAACGTCAGCCCCCTCCCAGGCCAACTGTGCCACCATCTCAGTCAGGGTTAAGCTCCCCCAGCACCACCCATGCTGATGACTATAAGGAGAGTTTCCAGCTGTGCAGGTGCTGCACGGGTTGTTGCTGAGCTAAAGTCCAGATAAGACACTAGGGATCCATCACAGATGCGCAGTTACTGAATTTGGTTTCTTCAGTGTTTCTTCTTATCAAACACCTTGGACATTGACAAAATTTCTATTCAGCAGCAGCTGGACTTTACATACAGACTAGTTAGAGAAAGACACTACGTCACACAGAATGACTTTGCAGTAGTTAATATACTTCATGTTTGGGGAGACCTAGCAGGCCTGTTGATGAAAACCAAGGGTAGTATTTATTTTTTACACATGCTAAGGCTTGAATTATGTCATTTGTAAGTAACAGCTAGCTTCCGTGCTACACTTACCAAAAAACACTGACAACTCTGTTCCTGCCTATTAACCTAAAAAAAAAAATTCACAGCCTGTTAACATCATTTTATTACTTCTGATTAGGCAATTGATGCAGTATTGCTCTAGCAGATACAGCAAATCACCACCTCACTTTCCTGTGACCCTTACGTATGTTAAACATTAATCTCTTTTCATTAGTAAAGACAAGATGCCATGACAAATGAGAAAAAAACAAAATACATATTTCCCTGGAACTTTTCTTGGCCTGATCAAGATTTGTGCTTTTTTCATCTATCTGTACCATTCCAGGCCTTTTATGCCAGTATCTAGAAACAAAGAATCCACATGCTCCTGTGTGTTCTCTGACCCTGGCTCCCCCAGCAAACAGACCTGGATGCTGACTACATGAAGATCAAGTAAATGTTAGTTTAAAAAAAAAAATCTGTGAAATGTAAATAAATATATATATTTATAATTATCTCAAATCTTTAAAATAAACAATGTAGGCTCTATCCTGGCAAATGTTTATTAACCACAGCTGGAATTTTTCCAGATTAAGAAGCATGCCACTGGGCAAACAGTAACCACATCTCTTGCAAACCTCCAGCAATTAATTAAGCTGCAAACTGGAGCGGGTTTTATGGCTCTTCAGTTTGTATCAAGAAGCAGCAAGGATCAAGTTGCTCCTGAATAATGCTGCTTAGAGGTTTTTTTTAAAGGTTGTGGGGTTCTTTCTGTACATAAACCTTTTTTATTTTAAGGCTGGCAACATGCTGGTACAGGTTGCCCAGAGTCTCCATCCTTGTAGATATGCAAACTCTGACCGGACACGGCCCTGAGCAACCTGCTCTAGGTGACCCTGCTTTGAACAGGGGGCTGAACTAGATGACCTCCAGAGGTCCCATCCTATCTCACCTCGGTGACTTAGATACCAGCATCTCCTATACCACCTATAGGTAATTGTGTCTACTAATCTGAACGTGCTAAGACAGTGGGGGAGGACTGTTGCACACAAGTATTTCTTCCTGCTGCACAAATTCTCTTTCCTAGCATACTTCCATTCTTAAGTGTTTTCTGAATTGTTTCTCAGTATAAATATGTAATTAGTGGATAAAGATCATTTCTGTAATCATAAAAACAACTGCTGATGATCTAAAATTATTTCCCTAAAACCACAAAACTAAGTACAACTAAGAACAACAGTGTAAGCAACGATGAAATGTTACTAAACACAGAACATTACCTCCTCATCACTCACTCTGGGCCAAACAGGACTGGTGAACAGAAGACACAACTGAAATGTATTAGGAAAAGTTTTTGCATTTAGAGTGTCTAAATTAGACACAGAAAAAGAAGATGTATCTATAACCATTAAAACTAACACTGGACTGTTGTGGGTGGGGGTTTTTTTTGTTTGTTTTTTTAAGTACACCATGTTATTTCTGCTATGATGAGAATGTTTATGTTTATGTTGCACAGACAAAGCAGGGAACTGAAATGCTGAGTATTCTTGTGCCTTGGCTCTTCCATAACTAAGCAAAACACAAACCGACACCTGGAACTTCCTAACGCATGTTAGTCTGTTACTAGACAAACAGCTATGGCTTTGACACCATGCACCAAATCATGAGAGAAGGCAATAATTTTTAAGCATGCACAGGTTTGCTGCATCTGAAGAACAAGGAACAGCACTTTCCCTTCACAGAAAGGGAACGTGCAGTTGCATTTTTTTCCCCATGCAACCAGAAGCCACCCTGTAAGTTTACATACAAGCATGCAGTAACATGTCAATGTCTTTAGCCTGTCAGTGGATTTGAGAAAGAGCAAGAAACTATTTTAATGAAAAAAGCCCAGTAACAGCTGAATGCAACAGCTGCCTTTTGATAACCAAGACAGACTAAAAAAACATCCCCAGTTTCTTTAATACACAATAGGTAGGAAAGCAAAGTGTGCCGCAGAAAAAGAACCGTTAACACATCAAACGGCCAGGACCTGGAGGTGGGGGGAGTGGGATGATTTCTGATTTTAGATGCTATGCACTGTTTATACCTACAATATAAACCTACCAGTTTACACCTACCAGTCCCTTCCTAAGGCTTCATGTCAGTGAAGGGCTCAAGCACAGACTTAACTATTTCAAGGGAATAGGTGGTTTTGTTTAATAGAAGACAGACCTGTGTTGTCAGGAACTGGTTTTACACAATAGACTCCATAAATTCTTGGAGACTGAAAACCATTTGGATAAGATCTTGAGTTGAACCTGAGAAGGTCTCATGCTACCCCAGCTGGAACAGAGCCTTAAAAATCTTTCGCAAAGCTCTTGAAACAAGTAGATGTTTTGATTAAGTGAGTTTTGCTGCTTAGTCAAGTATGAGAAGATGTCTGAATTATTTTTAAGTGTTTTTAGTTGCCTTTTCTCTGGCCATAGCAGGATCAATAAAATATGTCAAGAAGTCTAATATACTGTTTGCTGTTAATACCTTTTCCTTCTCTATTTTACTAGAGAGTGCTGCTAAAGGAGAAATAGGGTCCACAGCTATATATCTTGGGAGAAGCCATCTAGTTGTATCAGGATAGATAGCGATATTTTTGTCACCCATAAGGCATTTACAAACACAGAATACTTTGTAAAAGTAGTAGAA